TTTTTTTTTTTTTTCAGTAAGTTGCATGGGAAATTCAAGCACTGGGGAGAAAGGAGATTAAAGCGGGCTCGGGCGTAAATAGGAGAGAAGATATGATGCTGGGAAAAGAGCCCCCAGACCCTAGAAAGTTATTTGCCTCAGCTGAGCAGAGATAAAGCCTGCAACTTAATTCACAGAGCTTTAGCAAAGGGGCACGTCTGCCCTCTTAGAAATAGGGTTTCCCTCTTGGGGGGGGGGGGGGAAGGGAGAGAGAGAGAGAGAGAGACTTTAAAATAATAATATGTAGGGGGGGGATGTTTGTGAAAGAATTCGAGGTTTTCCAAATTCGCAGAGAAAAATCCTCAACTCGCTCACCCATAGAATTTATTTCTCATTCCGTTTTAAGTCCTGTGCTTTATGTGAGCCCGTAAAGGGAAATATTCCTGCAGGAGCAGAATGTCTTCTTTGGCCTTTATCGAGACCAATTTATCTGTCAATCACAAGTCTCCAATGACGATTATTTTTATGTGCACGAGAAAAAAAAAATATAAATATACTCATCATTCTTTTATCTATTCCCATTTAAAAATACTTACTGTGCAAGCCTGCTAAGATAGTGGGGTGTGACATGTGAAGGGGAAAAAGCAGCTTGGTTTTTATACACTTTGATGGACTATTTTAAAGAGGATCCTTACAGAAGAGTGGTTGTCTGCAGACATATATGCAGAAGGGGAGAGAGAGAAAGAAAAAGAGAGAGGCAGTGAGAGCAAGAGAGAGAGAGAGAAAGGAAGGACTGAGCCTACAGAGAGAGAGAAACCCTGAAAAGCAGAGTCAGTGGGGACGTCTTTCAAAGGAAAAAAATGTCCAAATACACCACATATGAAATGCAAAACGAGCAGAGATTACCCAACCAGCTCAGTTTTAATAAGTAGCAGCAGTTTTTGAAGCCTTAATGCAAGCAGACAAGGTCACTAAATTAGTCGTGAATGGTGCATTTTGGGGTTACACAAAGGAAAACATATCTTGCAAAGATTTCTTTTATTCACCCGAAAGCCTTCATCACATAGAATTATTCACTCTCCGTATTTTTGTAAGATTTGCAAAAACCAAAAATATCATCGCGTTGGTAATGCAAACCCCTTTCATTCAGGGCTCGCTTGTCTCTAAGAATTAACCAGCACAAAGCAGAGATGGAGACACTTCACCTTAAAGCAAACTAAAGGCATGGCTTAAGACAACATTTTCTTCACATTTAGCTGCACAGTTCTATCATATAATATGACCCCACATAAAATATTGTCCTTCCACGTTTATCTCGAGGTGAAACCATCCCCATGGATGAATGCAAAGTTACATGAATAAAGTCCAGCCAGAGTGCAGGGCAAATAAAGCAATATCCTGAAATAGTCTTCTTTTAAGTAGCAATATCTCCAAGCAAATATCCACGCTGGAATTAAAACACACTTTGCTATTGAGTGCTGGAGCTGCAAGGTTATCTTGCAGTTTTTATGCACGCTCCAGCTAGGCTTCCACAAAAGCTTCGAGACTTGCTTAATGGGAGATTACCCCTTCTGAAATGATGGTGAACTACCACATCCTTCCAAGCAGGCTAGTATCTTTTCCACTCACCTCCCCTTCTGACTCGGTAGGGGAAAGAAACTTAATTGCACGGAGCAAAACTAACACAAGCAATCCACAAGCTGTATGAATGTATTTATATATATATATTTTTTTCTAAGTGGAAAAAAAAAACCGTCGGTTGGTAAATTAGGAAAAATGAACGCCATTGTCTGAGCACTGTCCTGGCCAGTAGACTTCTGACACCTTTTCGGAGCTAACCGCTTCTTGCCCTGCTGCTCGCAGGGGCTGTGCGCGCTCAGCCCGCGCCGCAGCCCGCCCCTGCCCTGCGCGCCCCGCCCGGCTCCGGGCGTTG